TCCCCCCCCCGGGGGGCTCACAGCCAGGTGTGCGCTAGAAACCCCTTCCCTGATTTTTCCTTCTACAGCAACTAGTCCTGACTTAGGGTGTTTGTAACCCGCTGTCTTCTGCCTTCCTGGTCAGATCGGTGCTAAAATGTACATATAACACGGATTACAATTGTGACTATATATATCTATTTTATACCTAATTCTTCGCATAGAGCGAACCAGACCTGCCTTTCACAGTAACCGTGGATAGACCGGTCTGACCTCGCGGCCGCCTGCTTCCAGCGGGCGGTTGGATTAGGGGATCTGCGACCCCGTCCGACCTGGGTTACCTTAGGAGCCTATAATACTGCGCAGTTTTATATTAATAAATAGAAAATATTTCCTGGGGTTAAGAAAGCAGCTGATCTTAGAATAAATGGTCCATAAAATGTAAATTCCTTTTCCTGACCCTTAGGTGGCCCACAAGTCCGAGCGCTGGACCACAGGGGAAGGATGCTGAGCGTGGCAGAGGTGCCCACTCTGGGGCTTGGCCTCTTCGGGAAGGAAACGAACGCTCAGGATGCTGTTTGCTTAGCCAGGGAATGCAAATATTTCCAGTTCCTCATTCTGTGGCTCCAAATCCCGCTTGTCTGTGGAAACTGAAAGCAGGTTTTGGGTTGGGCTGCCAGACCTGGGGCCAGAGGGGAAATGCAGGGCACTGAGCCTGCCCCCGCTCACCCCAGGGCTCTCCCAGCCCGCGCTGGAGCAGCACCGCTTGCCCCCGCGTCCCTGCGAGCAGCTTGGTGCTGCCGCCGCACGGGAAGTCGTTGGTGGGGCTGTGTGGTGTTCTTCGTGCTGTTTAATTGCACAGGGACAAAAAGAGCTTCACGGCTGCCAGCCTGTTCCTGCTTAAGTCAGAGCCATTGCAGTCTGTCAGAATTTCAGCTGAATTAATGAATAACCTATTGTCTAATTAGCTAGCCCCTGTCTTTTAAAACTGTGCCTGCCAGGATACGATGAGTACACGTACTAGAGATAGTAGCATCACTGTTACAAAACCCAGTTGATCTCATTCACGGGGCCTCTGTTAAGTAGTGCCCCGGGCTCTCGGATGCATGGGTGCTGGTTTCCAACTTGGCACCCTTTGTACGATGGATATATAGTTTATATTAACACAAAGAGCGGGTATGTAGTTGTTTACTGACGATTACTTGCTGGGTACCAAGCCGACGGGAAACAGCCCTGTGGGTACGTGTGACAGCATTGTGTACACAGGGACGTATCCTTAGAGACTCAGTGCACTTAATAAGGAGCAAATGACCCTGCTCACCTCAACGGACACAGCACAACAAATAACTGAATGTATTAATCCATAAGAACTGTCACTACTGCTCCGCTCTGGGGAGACCCCCCATGCAGTTCTCCCCCAGCTCTGGGTCCCCAACAGCAGAAGGACACGGAGCTGTGGGAGTGAGTCCAGAGGAGGCCCCGGAGATGCTCCGGGGTCTGGAGCCCCTCTGCCATGGGGACAGGCTGGGAGAGTTGGGGGGTTCAGCCTGGAGAAGGGAAGCTCCGGGGAGACCTCAGAGCCCCTTCCAGTGCCTGGGAGGGCTACAAGAAAGCTGGGGGGGGCTTTTCCCAAGGGCAGGGAGTGACAGGACAAGGGGTGATGGGTTTGAACAGAAAGAGGGAGATTGGGATGGGACATCAGGAAGGAATTCTTCCCATAGAGGGTGGGGAGGCACTGGGACAGGTTGCCCAGAGAAGCTGTGGATGCCCCATCCCTGGGAGTGTCCAAGGCCAGGCTGGATGAGGCTTGGAGCACCCTGGGCTGGTGGAAGGTGTCCCTGCCCGTGGCAGGGGCTGGGACTGGATCATCTGTAAGGTCCCTTCCAGCCCAAATCGCTCTGATTCTACTTAAGTAGATTTTAAGTTACACATGTAGATACTCCCAGGGAAGCTGCCGGCCATCATCTGCCCTCCTGCAGCCCAGGCAGGCTGAGCTAGCACTGCGTGAGCAGGGTGTTGCACAAGCGACTTTCTGGAAAGTGGCTCTCCAGCGGAGGTTTATTTACCTTCTGCCTTCCCCTTCCTCCCTGCCTTCAGTGCGGGGCCTGAACGGACACCCGGCAGCCCCTTCCCCATTCGCAGTGAGATGTGGATGCTGACCCAGCCCTTGTGCAATGAGGGAGTTGCTGCCATTTCACCTCCCACGGCCGTCACGTGGGGGAAGAAAGGGATGGCCGGTGTCAGAAAACAGCCCCGTGACATCAAGAGGTGAAGAAAGACGTTCCCCTGCCCTGTGAAGATGATGGCAATTGCCAGAAGAGAAACACGGCTACCGGGAGGGGAAGGCACGTGGCAAAGTGCTCACGGCAGGCATTGCCTCTGACAGGCCTGGGGCAGGGGCACCAGGATCTGCGGAGAGCCTCTAACCCAGGGACACTGCATGGGCTGCTAACTGAGCCGCGTGCTATCCCGGGATTAATGCTACTCACCGCTAACGTCACGAGTAACCCTGTGAGCTGGTGACCAGGAGGTGCAGCGGACGACGTCGTGGAGCAGCAGGCACGCTAGTTTGGCACGTTCCTACGTGAGGCACACATGAGGAATCCGGCTAAACAGAAAGCAGGTTTGTGCTGAAAACACAGAGCTCCTCTTTTCACGTTCTCAAGGCCAAGACGATGGCAGCAGCGAAAGCAAACACAGTCAGATGCAGGAGCTGACAACCACAAACCTCTAATGTGGAAAAAAAGAGAAATGCAAAGAGCATGTGCAAGCAGAGCGTACATGACATTTCCACTTATGCCATGGGACATATTTAAGTAACTACCGGCTCCTTGTGTCCCACGTAAGCCCATTCCCAAGAAAAAGAAGCCACAGGGCTGATATGGGAAAGCCCGAAACCACTATAGTTTTAGAAAAATAAACATTTCTTTGCAAAGCCCTGTTCTGTCCACTGCAAAAGGCAAAGGTGAGTCTACCAAAGGTGTTCCAGCTTGATATTTGTTGCTGTATGGTGCTTTTCCTGGAACAAAATTCCTCTTTAATGTGTTATACTCCAGCTTTATAAAGGGAATATTTGACTCACTGTGGCAAATTCTGCTCTTGGCTTCATTTGTATTGGGCTGAACACGTGGGATGTCGCACCCAGCTGAATTATTGCCTCTTGGCACTATGTACAGTTGCCCTTGAAAACCAGGAGGTGTTTGTAACGGAAACTCGGGCTCAGCCTTACCTGTCCCAGGCCGTGCTGCCATTCCACACGCTGGATCTTTTCTCCACCACGGACAGAGTGGTTGAGTGATTTATGTGTAAAGATTTGTTACAGAGGGAAGAAATTAAGGATTTACACACATTTGTGTTTGGTCAAACCTCTGGTTGGCTCTCCCGGTCCCCTTCTCGCCACCAACACAGCCCGTCTGCTCTGTCCATCCCCGGAGCTGGGCCATTCCGGCGTGGGGAGCGCAGCCGGCCCTTGCTCAGATTCAGCTAGATGGGCGCTTCTGCTCGCAGACGTATGGGTGACAGCACAGAGCAGGTGTGGTGGCCTCGCGGACATCACGGAGAGCAGCACATCAACCAAAGCACTCAGCACAAAGGGGGCTTTTGCGTTCAAACCCTTTATTGTCAGGCAGGTACCAAGGACACACGCGTATGGCAGATGAAGAACACATCAGAAAGCGGAACTAAAGTTGTCTCTGATGAGATACGACCGCGACCTTTCCTACACAGAGCAGCGAGCCCCTGGCAGCCCCCCGGGGCTCTGATGTGGGCTCCTCCATCGCCCAGGGGAACGCAGGCAAAGGCATCTGCCCGCACCCTGCCCCACAGGTCCTTCCCCAGCCAAGTCCGTACAAGCTTCTTCCTTTGTCCGTCTCTTCCCCCTCTATACCCGACGTCAGGCCAGTCAACAGGAGAGCAAGTTCTGCTGCAGCAAGAGTCCTGCGGGGCGGTAGGCGGAGAGCTGGCTCCTTGTTAGCTTCCGTTTCGCTGTCAGAACTGCTCGGGAGGTTCGAACCATGAGGTCCAAATTCTGCTTCAGGCCGTGCATTCTGCTCACTCCTACATAGCTACATCAAAGTTAAGTGAAGCTGTACTTTGCGAAGTGCCAGTACGAGCTTGCAGAGCTGTCCCCGGGGCGTACAAAGGAAAAGCTCAGTTAAGAACTAAACAGATTTTCTTGGTTTTACTGCTGCAAGCTGAATCCCACTTTAATGTCAGAGTGACCTGAACCTGTCTGCACACGGTCCCCACTGTCTCTCTGCTCCCATGACTTGCTTGTGAGACCAGCAGCCAAACGTCACAGCTTCCTGCACTCCTCACACTCCTTACAAACCCAAAAAGCAACGCAGCCCCCGCCTCCCTTCTCAGCGACAGCAAACATTCCACTCAGCTCTCTGCTACCCTTCTTGCCGCATCCGAGACGCCAACCCTCGCCAAATCAGCTGCAAATGGAAATCGTCCCACTTATATATTCCAAAAGGAAAACCCCCTGGGAGAGGCAGAATTTGCAACCACTTACATGAAGAAGACTCAGCTTTGACCCCCAGCCCATGCTGACCACGTGAGTCAGTGCCCCGGCACACTTTACACAAGCCTAGGGCCAGCCCAGCACCAAGTTCTGGCTCACAAGGAAGCCGGCTGCGAGCAGCCTGTTTTCCCTGCCGCAGTGCTATTTTATTGACTGCATCCATGGCATATCCTGCTGCCAGAGCACCGTTTCCTGCTGCACGGGTGTGAGAACGTCTGGTCTGGGGAGTCAGATTAGCAGAAGTAAGTCGCCTGTATGATAAGGTAGCAAGTGCATTTAGTGGAACACAGTCAGCTCAGGCATGTTCTACAGCATGAATAATGAAACGGCACCGTGCGTTGGTGAACACTCCCCAGGAGAGCCCCCCCTGCCACCTCCCACGACGAGAGGTCTCCGTAGGCGTTCACTTGCCAGAGGCTGTCAGCCTGCTCAAGAGCTGCCTCACTTTTGCCATCAGCATCTCTCGGAAGTGGTCCCCCATCAAGAAATAAAACACGGGGTTAATGGCGCTATTCAAAAACGCGATGGGTCTCGTGATGACGTAAACGGTGCTGATAACGTCCCGCGTGCACAGGGACACATTCAGGGCCGGTATTCGGGAAGCCAGTCGGACATTGCGCATGATGTGGTAGGGAGTGAAGAGCAGCGAGAAGACAACCACTGTGAGAACCACCAAAGTGAGGGGCTTTTCAAGCGTCAGGACGGAACTGCACTGCTCGCTCCTGGTTTTGAGGAAGAGGACCATCTTCACATAGAAGCAGCACATGATCACGAGAGGGACGAGGAACCCAAAGACGGTCAGAAACATGCTGTAGATGAGGTTTTTCGTGGGGTCTCCGGAGCTTGCGTAATCAAGACACTTGTAATTATTGGCAGGCGTTACAGGCTCCAGGAAATACATCAGCGGCAGCAGTTCCAGTATCACCCCGACCCATATGGCGACAGACACGATGAAGGCAGATTTCCTCTTCTGCAGAAAATGTTCCCTGAAAGGGTATTTTATGATCATGTACCGGTCGATACTGATAATGGTGAGGAAAAGGATGCTGCTATACAGGTTTGCATGCAACAGGAATCTGTTGCTGTGGCACAAGATGCTCTCCTTTGCCCATTGGCCTCTGGAGTAGCTGTTCACGAGTATCGGAAGAGTACACAGGAATAATAAATCTGATAATGATAAATTGAACAGGTAGATGTTGCCACTTTTCCAGTTTTTCAGGCAGAAAATGTAGCCGAACACAACAATGGTGTTTCCAGTGAAGCCTAAAATGAACTCAAGGCTGTACATGGTGGAAAGATAGTACTTTTCTAGGTCATGCTTCATCAGCAAACAGTCAGCTGTCTCGTTCGCAGCCTTGAAAGTCAAAAGGGAACAAAAATAAACACAAGAAATTAGTGAAGGCTCATTGCCTGGCTATTTGTTCAGCGTTGCTGTGATAGTTGAATACAGCATGCTATTTCCTTGCAGCTTATACGCCAAGTAGAGCCTTGAACTCCAAGAATATCCCTTTATGCACACAAGATTTCTTCTTTCAGCCGTTGACCAGAGCTACCGAGCAAGATGTAAACTTGGGTGAGCAAAAACCTACGTGTGGGGCCTGAAGTCAGAGCATCGCCTGAAGGCATCTGCCATGACCTGCCATCTGCCACTTGGCTAGACCCACGGCACTAGCAGAGGCTGGGAAAGCAAAACTCACCGGTCACCCCCTCGTCACAGCCCTTGCTGGAAGTCATCTGCCTCCCCATTACCCAACTCCGGTCCCGTGGTCTCCTCACTGATCGCTAAAGCAGAAGTCTGCTGTCAGGACTGATAACAGATGAACTCATTACCAGCACTACAGCCATGCTCTGACAGCATTACTCACCATTCCTTACGGAGTTGGGAAAGAACATGTTTATTAAATTAATTGAACCATTCCTCGGGCGCTTTGCAGGGTTTTGCTGGTAACTCGGTGCCTGAACGGCACGGAAAGCGCTGAGGATGGAGCACACATCCTGTGCACCGCGGCTGGTGAGCGCGTCCCTGCACACGCTGGGCATTTCTGCTCCTGGGGTTCCACACATCTCACGTTTTCCACGAAAAGCCCTTTTGAGAAGGGAAGGCTCAGCTGCGACTGAGCGCTCCTTGATAAGGAAGTGACTGTAGTCCAGGGGATGGCACAGTCAAGATCGGGATAAAACGCCTTCGAAGCCAAATTCACAAACTTTGAGTCACGTTTGCTATTCCTACGAAGCGAGGACACCCCCTAGGATGCATTCCGCGGCAGCCCATAGCCCCTGCTATGCCCAGCGCGGCGCACGACGGAGTGCCCAGCCCTGGGGAGCAGCCAGAGGAGAGGCTGTTCCCGGACGGGGCAATGCGGAGCGCGGGGCTGGCAGACGCCCGGCTGTATACACCGGGAGAGCTGCCGGCACCGCTGCCACTGCTGGTTCGTTTTCTCTTGGGCTCCAGACAAGCAGCTGCTCCTTTTGATTGGAAGAAAGTAGCACCATCAGTATCCCTTCAGGAGCAAAGCTTTCTAGGAAAAATCACCAAGTGGGAGTTTGCCCGAGGACAAATTCTGCATTCTAAAGGCTGGTTAATAAAAACGCTTTCATGCTGCAGGGAGGGAAGCCGAGCGGGATCCCAAGAGCTCTCACCTCTTCCTCCTCCTGCAAAGCACCCGCACCCGGCTGTCGGGGAACTGCAGGATGCAGCGAGCCCTTAGCGAGAGCCATCGGTCAAAACCTGAGATAAACCATCAGAAAGCAGGGGAAACAAAACGCTAGGGAAGTGGGATATAGCGTAAATCCCAAATCAAGCTAAGCCTGAGGTCTGAGGGAGCAGCAACGCGACCGCCACAAGAGCTGCTAAAGAGTCTCCACAAACTGTGCAGCTTTAAGTACTTTCAAAGCTGTTCTGGTGTCTGGAATGCAATAGCTCTCTGCTCTCTGAGCACCCTATGTTATTTTAAAGGTCGATCGTGTGGCAGAACGAAGTTCAGCACATCCAAAACCTCACCAGGTTACCTCCAGCGAATAGCTACGCTTATACTGAGTGCTGCAGGCAAGAAGCGCGCAGCCGGGCGCGCTCGCCCTGGCAGGGAACCCTCCCGCGCAGGTCCCAGCCCCGGAGAAGACGCTCAGCGCTTCAGAGAGGGTGCGATTCAAGAAACGCTGCGCTAGTGTTAGAACTCTAATCGCAACTAATAACCTGAAAATTACAGCACTGACAAACACACGGCTCTAGGTAGTTGCTAGAAAAGGGCTGATTAATCAATTTAAGTAAGCAGTCAGGGGAAATCAATTAAAGGGTCCATTCAGACATGGCCCTGCCAAAGGAATAGCGGAGTCTTCCCGGGAAGCCGCAGTCCGACAGCCGGCTCTGGAGGCACAAGGACAACTTACCATCCCCAGGGCTGAGTCCTGCCGCTCCGTCAGCACCCCTGCACCATGCCTTGGTGAGAACACCGGGATCTCTGGAGAGCAGAGCAACGTTGCCGTTCAACCGCGTTTGCATATGATTCAATCATTAGTGAGTCAAGACCAGGAGCGATTTGTTTGGCTGAGCAGGACACGGGGGCAGTTGGCACGGGAGGACAGTACTGCAAACACAAGGAGAGAGGCAAACGAACACTTCCCCTTTGCGGAGACCTGTGTGGAAACCGCTGGGGGAGGACGGCAGCTGCCACTCAGCTCCGCACTGGGGGGGAGCCCATAGGAGCCGAGAGCACCAGCCGAACCTCAGTGTGCTGGGTTTGGTTGGGAGAGGGTTAATTTTCCTCACGGTACCTAGTCTGAGGCTGTGTTTTGGTTGTGCTGAGAAGAATATTGATAACATATTAATGTTTTCAGTTGCTGCCAAGCAATGTTTAAATTAAGCCCCGAACTGTTTCTGATCCTGCCCCTGTGTTCCCAGCTTCTTCTCTACAAGAGCCTGGGAGGGGACGCAGCCAGGACAGCTGACCCACACTGACCAAAGGGACATCTCATGGCATCACACATCATCCTATTATATAAGCTGGGGGGAGTGGGCCAGGGGTCTCGCTTTCACTTTCTCACTCTGGGTGTGCTCTTGGGCCTCTTGGGGACTGGCTGGGTGTCAGTTGGTGGGTAGTGAGTGGTCATATTGTTTTATTTTCCATTATTTTCAGTACATACTAGTAGTAGCGGTAGTATTATTCTCATTACATATTAGCAGTAATATTAGTATTGTTAGCATTATTAGTGTCATTATTTTATTTAATTTATTTTTAATTATTAAACTGCTCTTATCTCAACCCATGGGTTCCCTTGCTTTTTCCTCTGATTCTCCTTCCCATCGCACTGGGGAAGGGGGAGGTGAGTGAGTGGCTCTGTGGTGCTTAGTTGCTGCGTGGGGTTAAACCACGGCAGCGGGGCTCTCACAAAGCATTTCACATGAAATGCTCCTGTTGGGGTGACACGCAGATCTCACAGCAAGCCATGGAGTTGCGGTCAGATGCCCCCAGCTCCCCCCCTGCCCAGCCAGCGCTGTGCGAAGCACCTACCTTGTGTGGACCACAGTGGCCATCCAGATGGAGAACCCAGCGCTGATTCTCAGAAGTGTGAGGAGGGAGAGGGTGTTGCCCTTCATCCAACCTTTGGAAAGATCCCCAGAGGTGTCAAGAGGGCAGAGCCTGGTGGCTTCTGTCCTGGTGACACCCCCTCATCACCCACAGAACAGTCTTCTGGTGTCCCCCCCGAGATCAACGCCAGAGATGCAGCAAGCTCAGTGACATCCTGTAATAAGCAAACCAATTAAAACAACATATTTTAAGTATATTAAAGCAGAGCACAGAAGAAGAGCACTTAGTTTTCAAACAGCAACACATTTTAACACTTCAAAGCTTGATGGTTTATGTGTCATTGCTATGTAATGTTATGGCTTTAACTTTGAGAATAACTGCTGCTGATGCTAAGTGACTGCTCCACTGCCGCTGATGCACCCGAACCACTTCATCTCAGCACAAATACTGTTTCTTGGTTTCAAACAGCACAGTAGCATTTTTACCTGTGGTTTTAATAGTATTTTTACCTGCAGGCCACTGTCGGCCCCTGCTCAGGAGCCCCCGCGCCTTCCACAGAAGGTTTGGTTCCAATGTCTTGAGGCAGAGCATGCCCAGCACGGGTGTCCTGGCTGACAGCACCCATCGCTGCACGAGAGGGTGGGGGATGCTGTCGTTTTCCTGCAGGAAAACCAGCAGGAGAGGAACCTCGATGGTGTTTTGGGTTGGACGTGGCTGTGGGGCTGACACACAGGAGATGCTGCCCGGCCAGGGTTTCCACTGGTACAGGGCAGGAGGATTTTAGAAAACCCTGCACTGTGCAATGTCATTTTATATGCTTCCATTTAACTCCTATTGCTGTGCGTAAGCGTGGTCTAGGCGAGGTTTCACAAATCCCACCTTTTGGGGGGCTCATTAACTTTAGTAAAAAAGCCCTAACGGCTTTATTCACCGGTTAACGGCAGCTCGCTTGCAATCACTGGCGGTACCGAACCAGGTACCGCTGCGCCCGAGCAGATGGCCACGCGTCTGCAACGTGCACAAGTGCATCGACCTCGAATGGCTTCGCCCGATCCCAGCAAAATCCGGCACGCACACAGTGCTTAGATGGCACGTGGTGGCTGAACACACGGGCAGCGAGCGCGCTTCTCTCGCCAAAGCAGTAACAACATATCACATCAATGGAGTAAGTTCCGCAGGAAGTACGACAGCGGTTTAACGAGATGCAGTAGCAAGGTACGCTGGGTTATTTACTGCACAGAGAACAAGGTCGGAGAAAAGTGCCAGGGAGACCCTCCCCTTGAGTCACGAGGCTCAGAAAGGACCCCCCTTGCTTTCTAACCTCCTTCTCGGAGAGGAGCCTACACGCGGCCGGATCCAACCCTCCTCCCAGACTTGGTCAATAGCTTACGTCTAAGGGATTATATGTGCGCAACCAATCCTTTATATCCACTTAGCTAATACTTCAAGGTTTCACATGCTATTAGTCACTTACCGAGAAGCTGTTGCCGCAAGGAACCTCTTGACCTGGAGGAGTAACCTTGAGAGGCATCCCTGCTCGAGGGGAGACGCTGGCACGCAGCCCGCTGCCGCAGAGCTTGACAGGCTCTTGGGCTGTCACCACTCACAGGCGTAAGATGACTGACTCTGCCATATTTACATACCAACTGCAGATGTTAGTTTTTCCAAATTTGGCTGCAGTCAGACATCGACCAGCACAGCAGCTAGGTGGGTGCATTGCCATAGGTTAGCCCTTGGCTACTGTGTTGTTATCTGTCTCCCCGAATCTACTTTGAGCCAGACGCATCCGTCACAACCA